GCAGCTGTGGAGGCAGGCATGAAGAGGCCCCAGGGACATGCTGCCCAGCATGGCATCCTTGATGTGGAGATATGCAAGCTATTTTCGGCTAGTTGGTTCTCAGATGCCTAGCTGCCATGGGAAGGCTGTGCACTGGCTTCCTCCTGTGCCCTGTGCTGAAACTGGCAGCGAAGCTCAAGCTGGGTTTATTACCTCATCGGCTTTCCTCTCTCTGCCCCAGGGGAGAGTCTAGTGTGGAAAGCAGCAGGAGATTTTCCAACACAAATAAACCATCATCTCAGGGAGCAACTGAGATGTTAGAAGATGAGGGTGGGTTTCACTGAGGATGCCTGATGTACCAGAGCCAGGTTTCAACTCCCATTAGGGATGCAGGCCAGTCTGAGACCCGCAAAATGGAGAGATGTCCTCTGAAATACAGTTGGGTGACTGTGAATGGCTCTGGTTCACAGAAGTGTGACTCTTTGCCGACCCTTGCGTGTTTGTGGCAGTTGCTGGGAAAGAGAAGCCCCGAGATAGAAGCACTAGCTTCACAACAGGCAACACAGTGCTTTCCATATGTGCAGGACTCGTATGTGTCCCCCGTGCCCGGCCCAGAGTGGTGCCTGTCACTGCCTCTCACCTTCCTCCCATTTTCCTGAATAAGATTCCTGGAGGAAGGGAAAACACCCATTTTGTGGACATACATCTACCAAATGGATACTTGCTGGGTGGTTATCAGACTGTGTGCCCCTGGCAGCCACCCTAACTTCCTCAAGAGGAAAACAGTATGTTGTATTCAGTGCAGTGTGAACAGAGGGGTTCAAGAATTCAGGATTCTGCTGGGCCACTCAAGGTGCCTTTAGGAGACCTGTGCCTGGGCTCTCTTTCACCCACCTCCATCTGTCACTGTGAGCTGGCTGGCGAGGTGCCAATGTTTGTTCACATGGGGTGAACCCTATCCTGTGTGTGGTCTTTTTCTTGACTGCCCTCTTTGCCTTTTATCACCTGAAATACACCTTTACCCTATTGTCACCTGTACTCCAGTGTCCATCCCTCATCCAGCTGAAGACATTTAACAAAGCGTTAACAGCCAGGTCTGGTAGTGCTGCATGCCAGTAATCCCAGCATGCAGGAGGCAGAAGCAGCAGGAGGAGGGTGCTGCAAGTTTCAGGCCCCTTAGTCTACACTGCCAGTTCTGGGCCAGTCAGTGTTACGTAAAAAGGCTATGCCTCAAAAACCAATGCATGTGTGTGTCTTCAAATCATGCACACATACATATATGTATAGAGTTCCAGATGAACTCTCATATAAGGACAATATGGATTTTAGATTTAGAAACTTTTTTCTCCTTCCTCTCTCCTTTCCTTTTTTAAATTCTTTTTCTTTATTTTTGAGATGGGGGCCTCACTACATAGCCTAGGCTAGCTTCAAACTTGAGACCCTACTGCTTGAGCCTCCAGCCTGCTGGGATTACAGGGGTGTACTCCCATGCCTGGGTTGAATGGGACGTGCTTCTACTATCCTGCCAGACCTGGCAGCTTGGGTCTGGATACCTGCTTACCTATTTCTACCTTGGGTATGTTTTCCAAACCCGGTTTAACCCAATATCCTGAGATAGAGATTTGCACATTTGCTCTGAGTTGAAAGTGCAACCTGATGTGGCTGGGACAGCCCCAGTTTACTAATCTTGGTAAGTCTCATTAGAATTATTAATAATACTCATTTTTTTTGTGGGTGTGCTTAAAAGGATCCTGGCTTGGGTGTAAGTCACATGAGCACCTTCCAGGGGGCACACAGAAAGCCTGAAATCCCATCCATAGCTGTGCTCAGGGATGCAACTCCAGAGACCAAAGGTGCATGGTGAGATTGAGCACCTAAGACAAATGACCCTGTATATTAATATATACGTAAGACACAGCATACAGAAAGTACCGAGGGCAGAGGGTTCCAAAGTAGAGCTCACCAAAGATTCGTGTGTTCGTGCTTTAATGTTGCCAGACTTCCTTGCAGGGTGATTGGATCATGTGACTAGTTGGGTGCTATTGCTGACTGGAAATGAGGTGCCACTATTAGGCCAAGGCAAGATCTGCTGCCCTCTGCCTCCCATCTGTGCTGAGATGATGTCTGTTGCCATGGCAACAGCACCTGGAACCACTCCTTGGGGACGAGCCCTCTCCAGCCTGCATGGACCTTGTGTGAGAGGAGTCAGTGCCAATGTGCCGAGCCATCAGGCTTCCCTTGTAGCCTAGTTACAGCTTGTTGTCCTAATAGTGAAACGGGAACTGGTTCCCTTGATCTGATTAATAAAAGTTCCTAGTCATAAACACACAGTGGCCTCTTCTTCACTGTCCTGATCGAGATGCTCTCTTTAAGGGTTTTTTTTAAGTGGGTTTAAGGCGGTGCTGGATCTGCGGGCTCACACGCCCCCTACTTTCTTGGCACTATCTGATTATGTGCCTTAAGCCTCCAGAGAAATTGTCTGTTAGGTGCCAGGGGTGTGGACTGTGATGGAGACGTCACCTTAGATGTTTTTCAGGCCGTAGGCTTATCAGTAGGATTCCCGTTTTCCCACCCATGGAGTCCACTGTGGTAGAATATTACTTTAAGGTGTGTGACTTTTGTTTATGCTGCATTTGTTTAACTCTGTGAATCTGTGATTCTTTGCCTGTCTAAAACACCTGATGGTTTAATAAAGAGCTGAACAGCCAATATTGAGGCAGGAGCAAGAATGGGGGGCTGGCAGGCAGAGAGGATAAATAGAAGGAGAAACAAGGAAGAGAGGAGCAATGAGAGAACAAAGGGAAGAGAACTTCAGGGGCCAGCCATTTAGCCACTCAGCTAGCCATGGAGAAAAAAAAATGATATATACAAAAGTAAAAAAAGGAGAAAGCTCAGAGGCAAAAGGTGGTAGGGACAATTTGACAATTAAAAAAAAAAAAAAGCTGGCTAGAAACAAGCCAAGGTAAATCTGGGCATCCAAAAGTAAGAATAAGCCTCCACATGTGACTTATTTGGGAGCTGGCAATGGGCCCCCAAAAGTCAAAAGAATAAAACATTGCACAGCAGTCCAGTTTACCTGTCTCCCTTCAAGTAATTCAACTTCCCATGGAGTTCAAAGTTTCTAAGGATCTGGCTAAACCCATTTCTGAACTATAAAATCAGTTGTAAAAGATGCAACTGGCATTTAAAAAGTGAAAAAGCGTAGAAGAAAATCAGGATGTATGAGAGGCGAGAGGATGCTGCCAAACATTGGTCAACTGATTAGTTCCTACTAGGTGTCATGTGACTACTTCCCCTGCTGTGCAGCACGGATCCGCAGTTGTCCTCAGGTGCTTGTGACAGCTCTTGTCTCTGCAGAGGACTGATGGAATCAGTCACCAGAGTGTTACATAGAAACGCTTCCCAGGGGCAACCTGGAAACCAACAAAACCAACTGGTGGCTGATTTGCATGGTTGGTCGAGAAATCAATCAGGGCAGATTCAATCAATCAGGGCAGTTTTATGGATGGTGGCTAGATAGCCACCATCTCTGTCACCTGGAGTTGAGCTGGTTTCTCTGGGACTGACATTTGCAGAATTTCAGCTTCCTCTGACATGAGGATAAGCAATCCTCTTTGACTGATGCCATCATGGAAAAGTCTGTATTGAGGAGAGGGACCTGGAATTCCTTCAAGACTGAACCACAACACCCTGGCCTAATAACAGACTTCGGTGGTGTGTAGTAGGCATACTTAAGCACACCTGTAGCCAGCCCTTAGGAGGCATGGTTACGGTGTCTCCCTACAGCATACTTTAATCAAGGCAATGGGAGAGAGACAAAAACACATCACTGGCTGGGCATTGGTGGCGCAAGCCTTTAATCCCAGCACTCAGGAGGAAGAGGCAGGCGGATCTCTGTGCGTTCGATAGGCTCCAAAGCTACACAGAGAAACCCTGTCTCAAAAAACCAACACCAAAACCAAAACCAAAACAAACAAAAAAATCCCCACATCACTGGAGGCAAAGGAGGTGATGGGATCGGGCAGGGCAGCCTGGGCTATGAAGCTTTCTTCTACCTCTTGGTGGGCAGTCAGGTTGCTGGCCTTACCTAGCACAGGGTGGCAACCTGTGCCTGAGGATGCTGATTTAGGGACAGTTGTGTTGTCCTTTGGGTGGGATGGGAAGGAGGATGGAGGGGGAAGGGGCCCTTTAGGAACTCAGAAGGTGGGCAGACAGACAGACAGCCTTCAAGAACATCAATTACCAAGACCAGTGATCTAAAATGTGCCACTTAATTTCATGAGGCTTACTAACCACTCCCAACACTTCCGTTCCCATTAAAGTTCTCATAATGTTAAAAAATGAAAAATAGAAGACCAATACAAAGATGCAATCAAGTAACTACAGGCATGCTTAAAGTTGCATGTAGCTGTCCCTAATCCTTCCTAAGACCTCTGGGGCTGTTCCTGTAATTCTGTCCTGTGACATTGTGCCTTAAGAGGTTGTGAGGAGGCTGGGAGGTAGAGGAGGACCTGCTGCCCATCCTGAGAGCTGTAGACACTTGCACTTTAGAGCTCTGGAGTCAGCTGCTGGGGTAGAGTGGTTTCTACCAAGAGGCCTGAGGATCTGGTCTGTGCTGCTCCCAGGCAGACCATGGGGAGATAACGGCTAATCAGACGGTCACACACAGTTATAGGCGCCTTTTCGGGGCTGAAGAAGGAAAAGAACACCAAAACCTAAGTAAGAGATAAATTCATATCCAAATACACTCATACACACACACACACACACACACACACACACACACACACACACACACACACACAAACACACTTTTTAAAACAAGTCGAGTGTATGACAAAAGTGAGAGCATCAGCGCTGCCCACAACTGCATTCAGGCAATGGTGTGGAGAGTCTGGATGGGGGTCCAGTAAACCTTGCCCTGGTTCCTCATTACATAACTAAGTTCTCACCGGCCCGCCTGTCAGCCCGTCAAGCTCTTCTGCTGTTTGCTTTCCTCTGTAACTCACACACAGACTGTATTAAGGTTGAATGAAGACATTTATTTGTAAAACCAATTCCTGACAGAGAAGAGACTGTATTGGCAGGATGTAAATGGGCGGTAGCTCAGGGCCACATGCACACCACAGTGAAACCCGGGGAAACAGACAGAGAGCACTACTGCTGACCCCACACGTGGCTTCCAATTGGCCAACAAGAGCAGAGTCCTTTCCACTGGAGGACACAGATGCAGGGGGATGTCCTGTGAGAAGGCAGTTTGGCCGGACCTCCACCATGGAGTGAACAACAGGGACCTCTTTTCTATCGACCGTGGTTCCTTTGCTTGCTATAGACCCACTGAAGGTCTCTGTGGTCCTCCACCTGCCAGCAGGAGGGCAGCAGCATCCAACACCCTGGCCTTCTCACATGCCCATCCTTATGCTCTGTATGATCTGGAAGATAGCTGGGAGAGGAAAGAAAACAGACAGCTCAGATACCAGACAGCCTAACGCTGGAAACCCAACCCACCCAGTACCCACCCAGTACCAGGCTTCTGCTGACCCTGCCCCTTGCTGGCTGGCTCAGAGCTGATTAGATACTTCCTAACAAGGTCCTGTTAACAAGGGGTCAGCGAATTTCTTTCAAAAAGACAGCCTGGCTCTGGCTGTTGATGGATGCCTCTGGGATTAATAGATAACTTCGGCTAATTCCATCAGGAGTTGCAGCCAGAAATCCCCGAGGCATGGAAGATAGCCTTGGATTCCTTCCCCATCTATGTTCTGGGGCTGCTGGGGAGAGAGATGTGAGCCTTCGTGCAGAAACTGAATGCATTAAGCAGGCCAGTGAGTCTGCCTTTTCAAAACAGCCATGACCTGTGAAACAACCATTTCTGAGGGGAAAGGCAGGCCAGGTGTTCAGAGCACACACACACACACACACACACACACACACACACACACACACACACACAAACACACACACACAGTTCAGAGCACACACACACACACACACACACACACACACACACACACCCACACACACACACACACACACACGGCTGGCCTCTGCTGCCCATGACCCTGAACACATCTGTCTTTCAGCTTCCTGTGACTCTGAAGCTCACTGTCTCTCACTGTGGGCAACACTCATTAGTTTAGGGCTCCACCTTTAATTAGCAGGGCTGGTGGGATGTGGAGCAGAGTAGAAGAAGCCTGAAGCCCACAGATAACTCCTGGGCGCCTGGCATATTTGGAGAGAATTACTTAAGTAATGCCTAGCCTGGTTCTAGCTATTGGCTTTTGGGAAAAGAAGGTCTTTGTGTGTGCGGGGTGCGTGAGGTGTGTGTGTGTGTTTATGTTCTGTTGTTTTGTTTTTTTAAAACATCTTCCCCAGCAATTGGTAGCTCTCAATGCTGGGTTTTAAGATAAAGTGCTAAGGTAAAGTTATTTTTCTATGAGGGGGAAGTTTTCCTATAGAAATACTGTGTACAAGCATCATCATATGACATAACATTATTTCTTCATGAATATGCGTATGGTGAGCATGTGTATCACCATGAAAAACAATAGCTAACAATCCTTTGCTACGGGATTGTTCTGGGGGACTCAGTGTTTTACCACCTGCACATCTCGGCCCAGTTTCTTATGCTGTGTCTCCTTATTGTTGCCTCTGGTCACATTTCTGGTGTGCCTGCGCTCAACACACACTGTTACTTTCAATGTTAAGTAAAGATGTTTAAGACTGTCAGATACCATGAAGGAGTTAGGTCAGCAACTTAGGATACTTAATTCTGGCTCTGCTCGGAGATTTTCTTGGCTAACTTACTTGGCTGGCTCTTGATGGGAAAGTTTCCTACCAGAACTTATAAACTTGAAAAACTACCTAATGTTTCTGTCCTCCCCAGCAATCCTGACAAGAAGAGCAGATTGAATAAGCAGTCAGCATCCTGACTCAGTAGGAATGGCACGAGGGAGCTAGATGAGACTCAAGTCACGTTAAGAAAAAAACACATGCACATCTGTCACGTTCCCGGGTAAGAGTCACCCTGATTTCACAAACAAGTTGATTTTATAAAGAGCTGAAGGGTGGATTACAGTGGAGTGGGTTGAATCACAGCCACCGTGAGTGGACAAATAACTCAAGCTAGTTAGTCCCTTTCTTCTGGGACTCAGGTACCAGTATTGATAGACTGTCACAGGCATTAAGTGATGCAACATGTGTGAGGGCTCCTGACACACTGAAAATACAGTGCACACCAAGTGTCATACCTGCTGCAGTTACTGGAACAGACTGGGACCAGAAATGTTTCAGATTTTTTTTTTTTTTTTAAGATTTGAGGTTGTTTATACACACACAGTGTGCTACTACAGGGATGAGAGCCAAGTCTAAACATGAAATTCATGTTTTGTTTATATCTAGCACATTTATCTTGGAGAAGTCTTTTAAAAAATAGTGTGTGTGTGTGTGTGTGTGTGTGTGTGTGTGTGTGTGTGTGTGTGTATGCACCATGTGTATGCAGTTTCCCTTGATGACCAGAAGAGGCATCAGCACCCTGGAGCTGGAGTTCTAGGTTGATGGGAGCTGCCATGGGTGCTAGGAAGTGGGTTTAGGGGCTCTTAACCATTGAGCCATCTCTCCAGCCCCTGAAGCTCATTTTATCCAATATTTTTAGTGTACCTCAATGTTGTCTGTGGCCCACTCATTTCCTAAGGTCAAATGTAGAATTTCCCACTGTGGGATTGTGTCAGCACTCACAAACTTGTAGATTTGGGAACATTTTGGGTTTCAAAGTTTTGGATTAGACACTGAGCCCATATTACTATTACAAAAACATGACCACTGTTTGCCCATGCATACCTACGAAAGTAATACTCACATGCCATCTGTATCCTGATAAAGTATGAACAGTTCTGAGTTCTATCTTCTCTGTTTGTAAAACCATGGATTCCCAGTAATAAATATGGTGACACATATAATAATCTACCTGCCCAGTTAATGCTAAAAATAGTTACCTTTTCCTTAATCTCATCTGAGGATCAGTGGGCTATAGAACACTGAATAAGATATGGACTATGTCTTAGTTGATAACACTTCATATTAAGCTATTTGTGACTCTAGAAGTTCTAGGTCAGGATAAGACTGTTCGATTCTCTATAGAACTGCTGTTAGGTTAAGGAATCATAGATAATATTGGTAAGCCTCGGTGACAAGACATATATTAAACAATTTGCTTACTTGAGTATTCTTTAAAAAAATAGTCATAATATCTGACTCTAATTGAAGCCATGAATTAACATACAACGTATTTATTACTTTCAATTTGCCTGCAGAACAACTCCCTCTTGGAGAAATGACTAACTGAAGTCTATTTTAAGTTCACTTGTAGAACTGTGGCGAGATGGGATGTTTTTTCCTTTTCCAGTTGCATCAATGTCTTCAAGTTTTCTACATTTTATACCAATTATTTTGCTTGTAATTCTGTGTGCTTGCCAACACTGACCTGCCCAGTGACCCCAGCCCTCTCCATGCTGACTGAGTTTCCATGCTGCACACAGGAAGGGGACGGCAGCGAGATCAAAGAGAGGAAGGAAGCAGGGAGTCTAGACCCTGACAAGTTAATAACTTAACAGTGGGTGAACAAAGCTGGGAAAACAGCTGAACGGACTGCAGGAGAGGGGCTGAGGGCAGACTAGACAGGGGGGAAGAAAGGTGCCAAGAAAGGGCAGGGAGGCAGCCATTCCAGGCCGGCCACCAGGTCCTGGGCGGGGCACAAACAGGGGCCCAGAGAAGGCTCTGCAGGAGAGGAACTGCCAGAGTAAATGTACCCTGCACCTGTCCATCTGTGATCGGGATCATGAACTTCAGAGACCTTGGTTGATCACAGCTCAAGGTTCTTTAATCCCCCCACCCCCACCCCCAAGAAAGGGTTTCTCTGTGTAGCCCTGGCTGTCCTGAAACCCATTTGTAGACCAGGCTGGACTTGAACACACAGAGATCATCTGCCTCTGACTCGTGAGTGCTGGATTAAAAGCATGCGCCACCATGCCCTGCTCATCTTCCCTCTTTCAACCAACTCAAGCTTTAATATGTCTAATGTTCTATCCTCCTACAGCTGATTCTCGTTCATAGTCATTCTCCTCATATCCTTACCTCACATTCCCACCCCAATCCCCCTCATTCTACCTTTTGCTTTCTCCACTGAAGCATATTCTGCTGAAGTCACAAGTGACCTCTGTATCACTTAGAGTGACAGCTGTTCCTCAGCCTCCTTTTGCCTCACTTCCCTCCTTCCTGTCACTGGGTGCTCCCATCTGAAATGCTCCTCCTTGGGCCTTCGGAATGTCTTGGCCCGTTTCTTCTTTTTGTCCTTCTCTCCTCGTAGTGTTTTATGGGGTTGTCTTCCTCCACTGCGCACTGAGCTTGAACACTGAAATCCCTCCACAAGCTTAGTGCTTTGCCTCTCTTCCTAATATTCTTTCTTCTGAGGAAAACAGCAGAAGATGGGAACCTGCTCCAATAGGAGGCTCAAGGCCACTTTTACTGTACATAAATACTTAATGATAAGAGATCAAGAGAACTGCTCAGATGAAATCAAGGCAGGCCAGTTCAATGTCCTTTAGGCAGATAAGAACGGCAGAAACTGAACTTTATTTTTTTTTTATGAAGAAAGAGATGATAAAAGGTTGTTTAAAAAAAAGCATGGGTCCCCTGAAAGACAGGCAGAAGAAGTGTCAGGAGACAAGGCACGGCAAAAGCGACCCATGAAGCTCTTGGAGGGAGAAGCACAAAGGCACAAACAAGCAAGGCACCATTTTCCAGGGGCTGTCCCATAGAAGAAAGATCAGAGAGATGCCAGAGATAGATTAGGGCAGGAAGATGTCAAAAAGCAAGTGTCACTAACAGAAATAAGGATGTCCTCCCAGGAAGAGACCCTACACAGGAGCACATGACAGGCAAGAGTGCCACAGATCACCTTGGGAGTGCTGATGGCTGCTGAGATGTCTCCTCCAGACTGTCCATCTTGGTCCTCTGGGGCCATCAGGTTCTCAAGCACCTCAGGATGGTCTCTGGGGTGACTCCCTCTGGGGGCAGTTTCCAGAATGTTCTGCCAGCCTCCAGCAAAAGCCAGTATTTATGTGGTTAACCTGCAAACATGGTGGATTCAAGTCTATCCTGGAGCAAGTTTCCAGGAAAGAGGGACAGAGTAGAACATTGGTGAGCCAATGAAAGAGCAGTCTGTGCCTGGTGGACCAATGAGAAGAGCAGCCAGTAGCTGGGGAACAAATGAAAGAGCTGCCAGTAGCTGGGGAAAGATCTCTCCATTTGAGAGCAGATGGTTAGACATCTGGAATGTTTAGAAAACACAGTTCTCTGGTAGCAGAAGATGCTTTAACAAGAACTCTTCAATGCAGGTATACCCAAGGCCTACAGTTAGCAGGTTGTTATGAAGCAGGGCTAGCATTTACAACCTCGGCTAGAACCTAAGTGGGGAGGTGTGCGGGTGGGTGGTGGGGAGCTGTATGAAGACCAAGTACATCACATTATAATAAGAAAAAACCCAAACCATCATCATGCTGCCACTGAGCATTTTGTATGTTAAATGTCAATCGTCAGGAGGAGCTATCATGAGGATTGTGAGTTCAGAGCCAGTCCCATCCTCTGCCACAATGGGAGACAGGAGGCTTCGAATGTGTATCAGTAACTTGGACACAGCCACACAGCTGGGAATCAGGTAGCAGACCCAGGTTTCAGTAGAGGCTAGGTTTGGTGTTTGGAACTCTTAGCAATTGAGCTAACTCTGCCCCCTTGGTGGCTTGCAACCAGCACACTGCAAAATGTGCACCTTCTCCTTGTAGGTTTCAGAGCACAGCAGCCTTTCACAAAGGGCTTGGCTGTTGTAAAAGATCCTATTTTGGTGACTGAGCCTTGGGTTCAAAGACATGTCACCACAAAGTTGGTGACCACATGAGTGTCACACAGGGAGCACAGGGCAGAAGACACTGAGAGGAGAAGTTCTCTGTACTTCCACATGTCTCTGGCATACTCAAGACTCAGTCTTTTCCCTCCCCCATATCGTTCTGAACAGAAAAGGCCAGCCTTATGGAGGTCAGGGTGTGGCCCTACTGGCAATGGATGTCCCAGGGCATCCACACAGGGACAGAGTTGGACTATTTGACACTTGAGGCTGGGCATGGGCAAGAGCTCAGGCCCTGCCAAGAACATCGGGAGAATCACTTCACGTCAGTTCTAGAAAGGCTGTCCTGGAAAAGGACATGCCTGTGACATGCAATCTCTGTCCTCTGTCGCTGGAGAGTCCTGGAGTGTGCAATCTGACCACTGACCAACAAAAGCAATGTCCCCACCCAGAATCAGGGGAGCTGGTTGGCTGCATAGTGCCAAATAAACAGAGAAGGCTCTGTGCTCAAAGGGTTTCCCTCTGGAGTGAGAGCCCAGAGTCAATTTACCACTCGTCAAGCAAAGATGGCTGCTGGATTCTACAGACACAGAAGTCAGAATATCTAGCAACACAGGGCAATAGGCCCACACACACAGATTACAAACATACACACATACAAACACACAGACAAAGATACATACACAGCTGGGCATTGGTGGCGCACACCTTTAATCCCAGCACTCAGGAGGTAGAAGCAAGCAGATCTCTGTGAGTTCAAGGCCAGCCTAGTGTCCAGAGCAAGTGCCAGGATAAGCTCCAAAGCTACACAGAGAAACCCTGTCTCGAAAAAACCCAAAAAAACCAAACACACACACACACACACACACACACACACACACACACACACACACACACATAGATAAACACATAGACACACAGAGATACAAACACATAGATATACACAGATACATTCACATACACACAAATACATACAGGCACATACATTGGCACCCTGACACACATACATATTAGCACACATACATGTTCCTACATATACACAATATATACAGACACCTTCCTCAATATATACCTTATCCCCCTACATACACAGACACACATTTGTATACATATGTATACAGGCATAAACAGAGACACACACAACACATCATGACTTGGCATTCATTCACAAACATATAGAAATCTAAACACATACAAAAGAATACATATAAGAAACCTATACAGAAAATATACACATGGACACACAAACACATATACAGACACAAACACATAGAAACATAGACATCCACAAATATATACAACACACACATATAAATTGACACATCAATAAACATATACACATGAGTAGAGAAATACAGACCTGTATATGTAAATACATATAGAAACTTAGACATCAACGCATAGAATATCAGTACATATATAAACACATAGATACACAAATACATATACAAGTACAGAAACACAGAACCTAAATATCTTACACACATGTAGAAACCTACGCATTGACTAACACACACATAAAAATACCTACATAGACACACATAGCAACTACACCACTACTTCAATTACAATAGTTGCTCTTTATTAAGCTTTTAGCAGAAGTCCTCAGCCTTCCAAAGGAAAAAGGGTTTTGTTGTCATAAACTGTTCTGATTATAAACTACACACTTACTGGCCAGAAAATTGTGGAGGAAATAATGGTCATGAGTTAATCCTGTCCACTCCAAGTTCCCTTTGATGGGGACACTCAAGAACGCCCAGGCTTAGGGGGCCCTAATTAGGAAACCAATATTAAGGTTTGTCAGAGGAGAAATGAAATTGAAATTAGGACTACACAAGTGGAGAACTGGGGTGTGACTGGTATTTAAGAGGTCTGTCAGAGAAGCAGCAAAGGATGCTGGGGACTAAATGGCTCCACTGATGTCCGCTGAAGTCTAACTGGGGATGAAACAGGATACACCCTTGCCACAAAGAGAATGCATCACATTGCTGCCCTTTGCCACTAGGTTCAGGAGAGATAAGTAGTATTATAAGACCACCAGAAGCTTGCACATGCTAAATCTAAATTTAAAAATTGCCCAGATAGCATATTAAGAAAAGACCAAATGTTTAGGAGACATCCCGTCAAGGAAGAAAGTGGAGAGTGTTGAACACAGTTGTTCTGAGAGTACATTATAAGAAGTTTAGTCCAGGAATAACAAGGATGAGGCTTTGGCTCTGGTGACCACAGCATGGTCATGGCAGACATCACTAATCAATAGCTACCTACTGTCTAAGAATCATTTTTTAAAAAGTTTTGAAGAGCTGAGGGCTGGGAGTGTAGCCTAATGGCAGTGTTACCTCTACACATGTGTAAAGGCCCTGGTTCTGTGTCCAGCATCACAAAATAAAAACACCAACCAATGAGGAAGAGGAGGAAGAACAACCAGGGGATTATAGTTTGGTGCACAGATAGTCACAGTGGTCTGCGGAATGGCACCAAGTTTGCCTGTCCACAAGAGGCTTGAGGAGGCAGCAGCTGGAGTGTTTGTGTGACCGTGTCTCTGCAGGGAACAGTTGCAGACATTCCAGATGATGCTTGTCTCTGAGTCCTGAGATAAAAAAAAACCAGTTGTCCTCCAATGCTATGAACCATTCTCCAGTGGAGGAGATTTTGAAAGCCAAAACTGACTGATCCAGGAGATGCTTATCTGCAAAGAGACCTCTTTGCTTGAAAAAAAAAAAAAATAGAAGACAAAAGGAGGGTCAAGGGTTGGGGCATAATCTCCTTCAGGGCACTTGAATTCCTTAGGCTTCAATAGGGGGCTGGATCTGAAGAGATTAAGTAGAGAGAAGCAAATCCAGCCAGTTCAGCAGGCTCAAGCACTTCCAAATCCCGACTAAGAGCAGGTATTTGATTGAGAAATAAGTTTTCCATCTCAGACATAATCTATATAACATTAATAAATATTAAGCTGGCTATGACATTGAACAGCATTTAACAAAGCAGGAAATGGTCCAGAGATGTCCCTGTTGGGCAACAGTAGTCTCAAAAGAATACATGGTTCCTACTGTTTTGAATTTCACAAGGAAAACAGCACAAAATGGGAGTGTATCAGCATTGCTTTAAGGAAATGAAACACTGTGTTTTTTATGCTCAATTTGAAGTATAAACCACTGTTCTCTGAGGTTAGTTCATATGGTGGTACTTCCTTCCTCTTGGGTGGGGATGGTGCTTATATTTTATCACATGAAGAAACAGGGTTAGGGTTGAGAATGGCTCTCATTCATCCTCACAGGCAAGAGACAGGCAGGCAAGCAGGTTGATGGTTCTCTGATAGATCAAGAATGGAAAGTTGAGGCCATGCCCACCGATTAGATAGACAGCCTGGGAGAAGAAGTGATGTGAGCCTAGGCATTCCATAGCTGGACTGACATTTCCTATGAGGTGCTGGTGAGAAGGCCAGGCAAATATCAGGACAGGGCCTGAATAACTCAATGAAGAACTAGGCCTCATTTCCTGCACACACTAGGCCTGGGCCAACCCCCCCCCTCCATGCCCCCACCCCCTACAAACAGGGGATAACCAAATAAGGACAAAGCCTGGGACTTGTCCAGACTTGCCCAAAAATGGGAAAGCTATAGCCTTGGCCCACCCCTACTAGCCCTAACCAACTAGAAATGTACTAATATGATTGTCACTTGCCTAAGCCAATCCAAAGTAGAATCGTCACACTGCTTTTAAAATTCCTTTAGCTGTGCTTAAAAGGAGCTTACATGTCCCTCTCAGGGTGGCTGCCATTTTGTATAGGTGTGCCATCACCACATGCATGTGGGATAATAAACACTCTTGCTGAGTGAATTGTGACTGGTGGCCTTTTGGGAACTTCTTGGGAACCCTACCTAACACCTGTGTTTGTGGTGGATGATGGCAGGTTTGGGCCTGTCATGGGCCAGATAACCAGAACCATCCACCCCTGCTTTGAGTCAGGGTCTTGCTACATACTCCAGACTAGCCTCAAGCTCATGATCTTCCTGCCTCAGCCTCTTGAGTAAGTTCTGGAATTACAGACATGTACCTTGGCTTTTTTTTTTTTTTTTTTTTTTTGGTTTTTTGAGACAGGGTTTCTCTGTGTAGCTTTGGAGCCTATCCTGGCACTCGCTCTGGAGACCAGGCTGGCCTCAAACTCACAGAGATCCGCCTGCCTCTGCCTCCCGAGTGCTGGGATTAAAGGCGTGTGCCACCGACGCCCGGCTGTACCTTGGCTCTTATCTCCATCTTCTCAACAAGAAAAGCAACATGGAGAGAGTACTAACATGTCCACCATCATCCATCTGGCTACAGAGGATCCAGGCTTTGAACCCTCATATCTGCAGACTCTCCTCTCTGAAGCCTCTTACTGGGCTGCAGAGAAGTTGTGACACCTTTTGCAGTCACAGAAAGTGGAAAATTACTTATTCTGCAGGTGTACTTAGGCAACCTTCACACTTGCCTTTCTTCAAGGTTAGAGGTAGCCAAGGACCTGTGCAAGAAGCAAGAACAGGTTTGGCGGGACTCAGGTGTTGGCCTCAGGCAGCCCCAGGAGGCCTGCTGATTCACCTGACTTCCCAGTGTGGGGATGGCATTTCCTGGATGTGAGTCTGTGCTGAAGCCTTAGGATGAAGACTCTGGATAGGATGAAGACTTCCTGAACGAGGAAGGGCACTGGAGAGATGCTGAGAAGCAGTATGGGGCTTTCATAGATTTGTTAACCTGCTTTTCCACATGATGGAGCAAGATTGACCAGTAAGTGAGCATATGGGTTCCCTGCCAGCCCCAATTCTCTCTCAGACTATAGTGAGAAAAAAATATAGAAAATGTGTGTTTCTTACTACTTGCCCGACCTGAATATTTATTTACCATCAGTACTCTGACACTATTTCTGAAAAGGGCACTTTGCTCAACCAATCAACATCTAGGAAAGCAGGCTAATAAATAAGGGAATGAAAGCCACGAGACTTTCAAGACATTAGGATATATTATCAGTATCTTTATTCATATGAGATGTTACCTTGTCCTCAGTGTCTCAGTTTATAAAAATAAACAAAATAAGAGAAACGCAATACATGAGCTCATGGATGGCAACAGGACCTGTACGCTATCACCGGAACTCGATGGGACAAAGCTTTTGCCTACACCAGGGGGTATATCGTGCTCAAAAAGAGAGACAGGATGAAGAGAGGGTGCAGAGGTGTGGGGGCTCCTTCAGGAAGCCCCACAGGCAAGAACAGCAGGGGATGCTTTTGTCTGTGGTGCAGTGAGACATGAAGGGGAACATCTTCACCAAGCTGGATTTTACAATGGGAACCTGGCCAAACACTCCAGGGAGGAGAGTGTCTAGCATTCTAGTGCCATAGGAAGGCTCATCACTAAAGTAGAAGAACAATACATGGGCTGCCCTTGACAAATCACGTCTTTTCAAATGGAGAGGAAAGAGGGGTGGGAGCTGCAACCCACGACTCTAAAAGTCAAGAGTGGGAAAGGTTCTGCCGAATGAACTGACCCATCGCTGGCGATGGGGGCAGATCTGAAGGGACAATTGTGTTTTTCGTGGCACGTTCTGTTTAGAAACAAACATGTACAAAGAAGGAAGGGTAGTACGCCTAGGACAAACCGGGAAGAGTGACACACTCTGAAAACAGTGGCCAACTTGAGCTGAAGTGTAAACAATACTACAGCTGTTAAAAGGAGAAGTGGCCTGGGGTGGGATGGGACGATGGGCACACTATTTTTAGTTGTAACTTGAAAAGAGATGAGCCCACTGCCTTGGAACAATGGCAGCTCATTAAGAGGGGACAGAAAAAGTAAGGCATCTTAGCTCCTACAAGTCTGGAGAAACAAAATGGTGTAGCTAGAGAGACTAGGGTGCTGTAAAAAAAGTGGAAGGGTGAGGTAGGTGGCATAGTGGGAAATTTCTAGCATGGAAGCTTTGCGTCTTATCTTCCACACCTCCCTAAAAGAAAAACCAGGTTCGGGAGATGAATGGGTACAGTAAGTGGTCTGTTCTCTGAGCCATTTTGGTCCAAAGCTCTAGGACTTCCTTCTAAGTCCTAGGGACCTGACAAACTCATAGGAAAGTTAAGAAGAGTGTCACAGAAATACAACGTTTATGTAAGGGACATGGATTTGAGAAGAAGAAGCCAAACCAGAATGCTCTACTGACTTTGCACACAGACAGACATGTTGGAGGACTAAAAACCTAGAAAATTAATATGCATTAGCCAGTATTTACTTAGGACCTGGGCAACAGGGGCACGGGATAATGTGACTGGGCTTGTGGGGTGCCTCTGTGCCTATGGCACATCCTGTTCCCTCTTGTGGAGCCAGCTCCCTCACCCAATCTGTTTGAATGCTCATTTCCAAACTCAGTACAACTGCAGGAAGGTCCCCCTCAGCCTGGGCGATGGGGAAAGCTAATGTGGCCAATGTGGGGTGCTATCTCCCAGGCTGCACTGGCCTCCACCTTGCCTTCCCCAGTGCCCACAAGCTTCTAAGGAGTTTCCATTCCAAAACCCAGCACACAGCCAGGCTGCAGGGTGCAGAGGTTCAAAGTCAAATTGAAGGAGGCTGCCTCACTGTGTTCCACGGTTTTCTCCAAGTCTAGCCCTTTCATCGGTGACTTGGAACTATAATATATATGTTCAGAGATCATAAAGCTGGGAGAGGATAATTATATTAAAAGCTCAAGGTTCAAGATCCATCTGTCTATATACTGGCCATAAAGCCTGAGAGCACAGATAACGTTTTCATGTAGGCTGGCACATGCTAAAGGTGAAAAATCAGAGGCAGAATATCAGAGGCTGTGAATTCCAGATGAATACACACACAGAGGGAAGTGCTGCATCAAGAGACCACATGTCTTGCAACTGTGTACACTGTTTCCATGTATGCAGTGCTGATGAGGAGCCATGTGTTCAATATATCATGTAATGTCACTGATCATATTACACAGTAGGACATAATGTCAGAAAACTTCATATTCTGTATGTTTGTGAACTTGGCCATTTTGGAAAGGCAACTGACAACCGATAATAAAATGTTCTAAAATCATGGAGCTTTATAGTAGGTCTCGAAAATTAAACCAGGTATCTATCTATAGTATGGGTGGTTCCTGGCCACCCATCCAGTCATCCACCACCCACTCAACCACTTCAACACTTGCTGTGTGTCCAGTGCTGTGCAGGATCTACAAACTCAGTGGCAAAGAAACACTGCCTCCCTTGAGCATTCTTGTGGGAGTAAACAGACAGTAAGTGAGGAAATGAGATAATATGAAATGATGACGAGGACCAGAGGAAAATGAAACAACGTGTGTAGGAGGACGGAGGACTCGTTGAGGGCAAAGAGGCACACAGGTGCATCTCTGAGGCCTGTAAGAAACTAATGTGAAGAAAGATTCGATGGGGCCTGGTGGCAGATAGGGTCACACTCAAAGGCACGAGGGCTAAACTGAAAATTCAGGTCAAGGTAACAGAGGTAGAGTGGTACAATCAAGTGTGGTGACAGTCCTACTGCCCCAGTGGTCACAACAATTCTAGGCTAGCTTCTGAAGTTGCCAGTGCTGTACTGTAAGAAAGTCATTGGGTGCATCTGGAAGAAGGGTCTAGAATGCACATCTTTTAAGGTAAGGTTGAGTCAGCCAGGTGAGTTCAGTCTGAAGAAGGATCATGTTTTGAAGAGAGCAGGCATAGGGTTTTGTTGTTGTTGTTATTGTTCTCGAGACAGGGTCTCACTGTGCATCCAATGTTGACCTAGAACTTTCTGGGTAGCCCAAAGCTAGCCTCAAAATGATGATCCTTCTGTCTTAGCTACCCGAGAACTGGCATTACAGACAAGCACCAAGGCATCTGGCCAGGAACAGGCTTTTTGCTTCTTTGTGAAATAGGCAGCCCATTCTTGGAAACGTTCAGGGGTTGGGTGAATGCATTCAAATGGTGGGAACATTCACATGCCAGGTAGCTTCCCCCAGAGAAAGTCTGACAATGGTTAGAATTTTTATTTCTTGAGTGGATAATTTTCTCTTCTTGAAACATAAAGTCCTCTTTCAAATATTTCAAAAGATAATGATATTCCCCAAGCTCTTCAGATGCTCCCCCACACCGCCCCGGCTTCTATTCCCTTGAAACTCAAGTAGCTGGACCCTCAGTAGTGATGGGCTTCTCTTAATATTGGAGCAGAAGTGTATCTTGGTGGGATGCCTAAGCATATTCAGGAAGACACAGGCTTCTTGTGATCCCTGTCCTCAGAAATAGTGAGATGACAGAGGAGAAGAGGGACCCCCGAGGCTATGGCCTGAATTTAGAAGTAATATCCACTTATCAGTACTGCATAAACTTAGTACTCGGGGACCAGGAGCCCAGGCAAGGTTCCACTAACAGCAACGAACAGAACTGCATTTGTTTTTTTTGTTTTTTTTTTTCTTTGCTCATGTCCCTTGTGAACATATATGTATGTATTTGCAAATGTTTAAACACAGCTCTCTGAACTTGCCACCTCGAAGTGTATCAAGAGACCCACATCTGTGGCTTAGGTCAAAGGCTTTGTTCTGTTTGAGCTTTCTGTAGAATGATCTAAGGCTGAAGGTCTCTCCCTGTCTTTGGAATGTGGGTTTATCTTGAGCAGATAGGTATTTTATGTTCTGTTCCAAATACTCTATTTAGGCTGTGTGTACACAGAACAACTCAACTGAATTTCACAGCATATATAACACATTTAACTTCTTGTAATCATTTTATGACTATGTTCTGATAGTGTATCAACACTGTCTCGTCATACTCAGAATGGAAACTAATGAAAGCCCATTAAGATTAAGGTTTAAGGCAGTAATGAACTTGGACTCCCCCAAATCAATACTTCTTTGTATATTTAGGCTGTGGACAAAAACATGGTCTTTTAAGGACAGTGAAAAGAACATGGGCTATAATTCAGTGAAATACCATACCTGAGCCACAGACAACAAAAACAAACAGTGCCAACAGCCATGGCCCAACAGGATATTTCTCTTCTTGTGGCCTCTGTAAGGGAATAGAAAAGTTAAGGTTAGGTTCATTGATTCAGTAAACATTTACAGGTACTGCTTGGTATTGGATGTGCTGAGGATCCTACTGTGTACAAATGACAGACTTGGTTGCAACTCTCAGTGGGTAGATATGTGGCTAAGTAAATTCGATTATAAAAGATTGGGATAAATTCTGTAAAACAAGTCATTTAATACTTTATTAGTATTAATGAATTTGGTGCTCTAAAATATTATAGGGCTAAATGAGGTATAAATATATAAACACACATGGTGATTTTAAAGGCTATTGAAAATAATAATAATAATAATAATAATAATAATAATAACAACAACAACAATAACTGTGTCCATCTGTTGGAAGCATAGTCCAGGCAGTCCATGTATGTTATCTCCAGCACATATGACTCTGTGCAAGGATATTATTATTCCTATTTTGTAGTTGAGAACCTGAGGTTCAAAGTTTCCTAAAAGTAAGAGATAGGATTGAATTCATTACCGAGCTTGGGTATCTTTTATGACTATATTTGCCTTTCATTCTTGTTTCTGGGCATCCCCAGAAGGACCAGAGAGCACAGAAGTTTCCCCCAAACCATCCATATATTGTAAATGGAAGTCTGTGGGGCAGACATCCTTGTATCCGCAGAAGAAAGGCAACATTCTGGGGGCTGGATGAGAGGGGAGCAGCATGTTCTAAGAAAGCTGGTGAGCCCTAATGATGTTTATACCTCAGCAGAGTCTCCACACTGGCAAGCAGGGCAGCCAGATCTGCAGGAAGAGCCTGGCAAGAGCAAGGGTATAATAAGAATATCCCTTGGCAACACCTCTAGGCCTGAGCACAAATGCTCCATGAGACTAAATGAATGAACAGAACACACTTAGGTTTTAGGCAAGATACCAGAAGAAGCAGCAATTTGTCGAACAAAACGGATACAGAAAGAATGTGCAGGGCGAGACCAAAAATGAGGTTGCTTTCTCAATAACTTGAGCAAAAGATTGGCTGCATCCAGTATAAGCCACAGAACATGCAGAGAAGCATATCAGTAGGAAAGTCAATCTGTAAATGCTTACTTGTAGAGCAAGTCACAATCTCAAGCTGTGGGTTTCTGTTAAGGGCTGTGGACATTTGAATACATACATACAGACTCGACATATAAAGTGTGGGCTGAAATATGTCCATGTCTATGCAGATCTGACAGCTACACATTTGGGAGGTGTATTGTATTAATGTTTTAAAGGAAAATGAATGCTGCCACTGTTGAGGATGTGATTTTCTGACATGGTGAGAAAGCTTTAGTAAAGTTTTGAACAGTGCAATCTTCCATTTGCTTTCCTAGAAAGTTCAGTGTATTAAAAATACAAAGCATGTCGTACTTATTGATAACTGACACTCCATATTTAATAATAGTCCCCATTTACTGGGCATCATGGTACATACCGAGAATCTCAGCAATTAACTGGCTAAGGCACTTTGATTGTGAGTTTGAGGATGACCTGGACTACAGAGTAAGTTCAAGACCAGCATGGGCTACATAGGACAGCTGTATTTCATTAGATAGTTCACTGATAGAGCATTTGCTTATTATATACAAGGCCCTAGTCTTAGTAAGCTACAATTCGATAGGTCTCAACTTACCTATTACATTTTTAGCCTTTCCTCTCTACCTTCCTTAGGTTCATTTGTCATTTGTATGACCATGTATGCTTTCTTGACAGAAATTATTGACTCCCAGGGGTACATGTTTAGTGTCAATCTCTCCACTATACTGGAGGCCCCATAAGGGTTGATGACACTCTTTGAGGCATCAATGTATAGCAAAGTCTGGCACAGAGTTAAACAAAGAAGGTAATAAATGCTCATTAAAGAATGAATGAGATTGCATGTTTCATTAAATGTGATTTCATAGGTCAGGTAAAATGGGAGTCTACAAAGATTACTGTCTTCCTTCCTTCCTTCCTTCCTTCCTTCCTTCCTTCCTTCCTTCCTTTCTTTTCCCTTCCTCCCTTCCTTTTCTTTCTCTTGACCCAGGCTTTCTTCTAGTCCAAGCTGGCCTCTATTTGATGTGTAGCCAGGGATGATCTGACTTTCTCAATTTATGTAGAGAATGATGATCTAACCCTCTTTTTCTCTCCTTTCTCTTCCCCAGTGTTGGGATTACAGCTGTGCATCATCACTTCCAGTTTTATATGGTGTTAGGGATCAAACCCAGGGCTACCTGCATGGATTGAGCTGCATGCTCCGCCATCCTTTTAGTAATGTTTTGTAACTGGTAGTAATGGGTGAGTCATCCCTGTTTCCCACTCACTAGGTATTGAAATGGAGATCAATGTGTCAACAGCGGGTTGATTTTGACAAAAGATTTAAGCCATCCATTCTTGGATCTTGACCATCAACTTTGCTGAGAGTCACAACATAACAGGTTGTTGCTTTTGTCTAGAAAAGAACCAAATAAGTCTTTAGGAATTGCACAAAAGAGAGCTGGGGAGATGGCTCAGAGGTTAAGAGCAACTGGAGGCTCTAGAGAAGACCTGGATTCAATTCCCAGCACAGAAATGGCAGCTCACAACTGCTTGTAGTTCCAGTTCCAGGGAATCCAACACTTTCACACAGACATGCATGCAGGCAAAATACCAATGCATATAAAATAAATAAATCACTAAAAAAAGAATTGCATAATAGAACTTGACTATGCCACTGCTAAGCACAGAAGACTAGGTCAAGCTCTGATCAAGTAAATAACAGAGTTTTGTTTTGTTTTATTTTGTTTTTTTGGTTTTTCGAGATAGGGTTTCTCTGTGGCTTTGGAGGCTGTCCTGGAACTAGCTCTTGTAGACCAGGCTGGTCTCGAACTCACAGAGATCCGCCTGCCTCTGCCTCCCGAGTGCTGGGATTAAAGGCATGTGCCACCAACGCCCGGCAACAACAGAGATTTTTAAACAAAGTGACTTGAACAGAGTCTGACATCTACCCTTCCATGCACTCTTCTCGAACTTCACTGTCCTAGTTTCCCTCAGAAAGCAACTGAGTTGCCACTATTGCAACCTATGGCACATTATAAAAAGATTTATCTTAGCTCTATTCCCAGCAAAGCCAATAAGTGAATCCAGGAGCCTCTATATGAATCACTAGGCTACTAAGGATGCCAAATGGAGTCCAGTATTTTTTACCTACAGTTGAACACATATTATCATTGAGTAGCCTGGAGTACATAAACACAAAACGCTTTTGGAAGTCATTCCCCAGTGAACAGAAATTAGCTATGGAGTTTCAGAGCTCTGGAGCACATGGCTGGTATTAATGCCAGTACATCCCCTTTGGAGAGTTTTATTTTATTGTATCTTATTTTTTGGAAAGGGTGCTAGTACAACCTCATTGAGACAGTTCACGTGAGCCCCATTCTATTGCTGCAAAAGACAAGGAAAATGGTGCTACAGCCCTTCTGTAAAGAACAAGGCTCACCTCAAACATGAGGTCGCAATCTGTGAGGGGCTGTCTTTTTCTCTGATAAAATCTTTGCAAGGCAGCTCAGAACTCTGCAGTTTAAACACTCCCTTCCACTCTGAAGGAAACCCTACTAGCCAATCCCCAAACAGTCCTTCCATTTCTGTTTCCCTATCAATATGCTATCTGGGAGGAAAACATGGATGTATACAAGAGCAGCTAGTTAATCATGACAGACAGAAGCATCTATATACATTGATGGAGGCTGATTTCTGAACAATGAGCCTGCATTTTCAATGGGAACTTGCCAATCTGTTCTCATTTACTGAAGTCTATCTGGAATTAGCTGTCTTTTCTAAACTACTTCTATCAAAGTATAACCATGTTTGACTTGTAATTAGAAAAACAAGATTCAGGATTTACAAAGAGAAGTTTTGTTTTCTTTTTGGATGCTAATCTACTTACGGTACAGCCAACCAAAAGACCCTTCAAAACAACTACAAACAAACGTTTACTGGGACCTGGGAATCTTTCATTACAAACTTAGTCTGGCCAATTACTGGTCTTCATAGGTGCCAGGCACTGTTGTGAAGGGCCATCCATGGTAATAGCAGACCATGCTAAATGCATTTATACTGCATATTAAATATAATTTAAATGTAGCTGGGAAAGTTGAATTGTAGAAATCTAGTTATATCTACTACATAGTGCTTTCCCATTTTCTTTTATTTTGGAGCCAATAATTTTTTGTTTTGTTTTAGATTCCCAACATTTTGTTGAGTCTACAGAAGCTGATGAAGAAAACAACCCCACAAATTAGTTCTTGTGTTATAACTTTTGCCCTCACATAAGTTGTCAACTGAGATCATTTAACACCTGAATTCTGATTCCTTAGTTCATCAGAAAGAACCACATCTACATATCTCCACTATCTCTACACCATGGAAGAATTGATTTCCTAGAAACATAAAGTAACTGCTTTTAATGTCAAGTTGGTCAGTGGCTCCCTGCCCCCACCCAGCAGAAAAAAAAAAAAAAAAAAAAAAAAAAAAGAAAACATATAGGGGAAACCATAAAAACATGGTTCCCATTCTATGATGCTTTGGCATTTTGTTCCCTCTAATCACAGCTTAATAATCCCCCCAAAGACAGTATTTTAAGGGTTACTTAAGCCTGAAGCAATGTATAAAACTCTGAGTGGAGTTTGATGCTCTGGTTTCTCTGCCACAGTTCTGCTTGGTTTTGCAAGAATTCCGGTGTGATGACTACACATTCAGCTTTTCCCTCAGTTAATCAAACCAACATAATTTCTTTGGCTAAAAGGCATTGCCTCATCAAGTCTGCGTTTCCAGACAAACCCAAGCTTCGCCTGGACTTAATCTTAGGGGATAATAGATTCCAGGCGCCTTTGCAAACCAGCTCTTCCCAACGACACGACCCACTCAAGCCTCAGATGGTTCAAAGTCACAGGCCTGACATTTTCTGTAGCAGACAACCTGGTTTACTGAAGGAAATAAATATCTGCACCTAAGGTGCACAGTTTATTTAAAATTCCAGGAGTAAAGCTGTAACCTATGGTTCTGGGAGCAAAGAACCCCTGGCAATAAGCTGGTCTACAGTTACAGCATCATAATGGGCCCGAATCCACAGGGTGAACGATAGACAGTAACACTGCACTTAAGCTTTAGCCCAGTGGCGGCTGGAGGCCTCATTTTGCAAAAGAAAGAGGAAGATGGAGAGAAAAGTGGGTCGGAATCTCACGCCCTACTTTTAAGCCCTTTCGTTATATACTGGGAGAAGAGACAGCATCAAAAAAAAAGGTAGAAAGGAAATCTTAGTGTGGGGGTGGGGAAGAGTTCTGGGGCGGAGTCTGGAAGCTGGGGATAAGCAGCATTCTATCATTCGTTCATCCATCCATTCATTCATTCATCACATTCACCTACTAGGCTCCCAGCCCAGTTGGCTTCACTGGACCCTAAGATGCAGCTTTAAGCCTTTTCCAAGGACGATGGGCCATTTTTTTCCTGGGGAGGCTCCACCAACCAGAGCCCTCTCGGCCCATGAGAAAGCAGAGCAGTAGGAACCCCCAGAGCCCGGTCG